CATTTGATTTTTTCCTTTCCAATACTGTAACAAGTTCAGACCGTTGGCTAGGAAAAAAAAATTGGCCATTTGCCACATCTCTAATTTATAGTATTAACCCTTAAGTAACAAAACAAACTACCAAGAATTAAGAAAATAAGTAATAACTAGCAAATCTCAGACTTCTGTGTTTTTAGAAGAAYTTTACATAGTAAAGAAAACCCTGTWGAGGGCTACCTATATTTTCTTCATCATGTACCAGTTTCATGGCATTCAAGCTGCTAAAATYCTTTCTTCCCATCATCTTAACTAGTCACTGAAACTTGAGGAGGCAGTTACTGATTATATTCTCTTCCGTAAGCCTTTCAGCCTTCCTGAAAATGTCGTGTTACRTGTGAAACCCTGTCCTCAACTCCAAGGCTTCAGCCTCATTCCCTCATGTATGCATTCTACTTGCCTTAGCAAACTGAAAATTTCTTGTCCCTTGAAGGTCACTTTTCCCTGAGAAGAAGGAAAGACTGATAGTTTTGCTATATTGTCAGTTCCCTACTAAAATGCAGTTGTAACACAATCATGAATCTTAATGTTTGGCCGACAAATAGTATCAGATCACAAAAGCTAGAGAATAAAATGTTTCTGCATTTAAGATAAAGAACTGCYTTGATGACAGCTGCAAGACAAAGAAAACCAATAGAAGGTAAGATGTATAGAAAGTAAAATTTCAGAAGTTACAGTAGGAATCTACATGAGTTTGCTTCAAATATTATTAGTGTCCTCTCGTATAGATGGGAAGGTTGTCTGAACGTAACTCAGAAAACCACTGTTTTTTCTTCCAGCAGATGTTGACAGGAAAAAGGTTTCGGTTTTTGTTGTGGGTTTGGGKTTTTTTTCTCTCTTTTAGCTGTCCAGATCTCCTATTTGCCAAACAGGAAACTTCATGGGGAAGTTGCAGCACTGCACACAGAAAAAAAGCCTGCGAATGGTCTACAAACMCTTGCACAGAGTACCCTCAACTCATCAGCTTGGCTGACCAGAGACTTGCTGTTCTGTGGCCCCCACCTCAGCTCCTCTTTTACACCTTGTGAAGATCAGAACATTCTGGGTTTGTGGCAGAACCTGACATTTGCCTCTTTGAACCACAGCAAGCATCCAACCAACGCTGTGTAGCACGGGCCAATTCCAGCATTCCCTCCCTTCAGGCCTCTTCCTGGTACAGTTACCTGGATTTACAGGAGTGGAATTCCCAATTTCCCTTGCAGAAACCCATATCCTTAGTGAGTGCCTATCCCAACACAGGGACAGGCTGTTGAATGCGAATCTGGCCCAAAATTGTCAAAATCTGAGAAAGCACAAGGGTTTCTYCTACCCTGCAGAATGAGTCAGCCACAGCGAGAGCCTGTGCAGTGCATAAACAGCAGAATGTGCGTGCTGAAAGGAGGTGCTCTCTTCTGGGCACTGATTCATCCCAGGGACCAAGAGGCAGCCAAACCACAATGGTTACTTACAGAAAGGGGTCAGGGGAGCTAACAGACAGGATTTAAAAAAAAAAAAAAAATAAAGTTGAAAACTAGGGGGATTTGGATAATATGGACATTGATACAACCTAAAAGTATGCAACAGCAAAACAAAGGCATAAAATTCTGCAATATGAAATGTCTAATGGGGGTGACAGCTGGAACTTCTGGAAACATTTTTCCTTAAATCTCAACTGTAAGGAGGACTTCAAACCAATCTCATTTGAAATTGCTCCTCTTTGCTTTAGCAATGAACTTCTGGCCTGCATGTCTATGGGATATCCAAAATGACATGACAGCTCTCCCAGCAAGTGAGTGACTTCAATCCTCCACATAAATCTTCAGGCTTCTTCACTAACTCAAATGAGGTTTGTTTTTTGAGAAGTTCTTCCCTCTACTTCTGTGCTAAAGTCAGAAACAGTCCTGGAAACAATGTGGCTTAGAAATACTGCTAGGCAAAAAACAGGAAAGAAGATTTTCAGATTAGTGAGACACCCTTAACTTGAACCTAAAGAGATGAAAGCTGAAAGTGGCATGCATTTGCTGTGCTGACACTTCACATTCCTGACTAGAAGCAAAAAGAAGGTTATCTAGTTACATTTCTWAAATTTCAACCATTCCAACTGATGTTCTCCAAACAAAACACCAATTTTATTTTGGTGACACGAAACACTATGGCCATTCTAAGAATACAACYATCAAAAATAAATTTTGCTCTAGATGAAAAAGTATCCTCAAAATATTATCACAGCTATTTTAATGAGCATTATACTTTGGAATAAGGAAGTGAAATTTAAGCTGTGAAKTTGAAGTGTATTCCCAAATTTATGGCATGTTCAGCATTTTTCAGAAATTTTAGCAAATGCTTACAGGGTAAATGAAACAGAAGTTTGTCCTAAAGACTTTTGTACATTTTTTGTTATGATGAAAAAGGCACATCCCAGAAATAGTTCATCTTCTGCCAAATGAAATAATCTTAAAGACACTCATCAGAATTTTTTAAATGTACTTAAGAATACAGCAAGGTATTTTCCCATAGCCTTTTTTCTCATAAAATGCTAACGAATTCTGACTCATTTTCTGAAAGAAAGAAGAATAATCAAAGAAAGGAATTCAGCCAGGGGCAGATGTTTAGCATGGAATATTTCAGCCTAGAAGCTGGTCTAACAAAATGATGAGCAGCCAAACACAAGGTTTTGTAATGACACATGTGAAACTAGGACAAAAAGAATATTACTAACATATTAGCAAAGTTGCATGTCTGTTACTACACAGTACATTAAAAATTTTCATTTTATTAAAAAGGCAAGCCCATTCAAGATCTATTTCTGTTCCATATTTGAGAAGCAGCAAGAGGATGTCCTCACACCACATCAGAATGATGAAGTAACCTCCCATGGTTTTAAATGAGCATGCCTGTATAATTTTCARCACAGCATTTCTGGAAAGAGCTGGCTAAAGACATCTCTGGTTCCCTGATGTCACTTTCTAGTGAGTATTCAGACACTGGTGAAATTCCAGAAGACTGAAAGGATGATGATATTTTACTACTATTCCGGAAGGGCAAACAAAGTGGCTTACAACAACTGGAGACCAGCTAGCCTGACATCAGATCTAGGCAAAGCGACTGGAAAAATAAWAAGGAATGAAGGTCAGAAATACAGTGTGCTATTCCACATGGGTGGCACTCAGAACACACAGCATGCAAATGGCCCAGGGATGTCAGCCCTCTAAAGCTCCAGTAGGAAACTGTGAGGGCAGCTTCAGCCAGCAGTTTGGGTGTAACTTTAAATCATACAACCTTCTTATGAAAAATCAAGATTTCACTATGAGTAATGCACCGTTTGAGTGGAATGCAAAAAAAYTAAAAATTCTGAGAGTTAGCTTTGTGAATTACAGTTAGAGCTTTTTACCAGTGGAGAATTATAACTGAGTMACAGCAATTCCAGCAGGACTTATAAGTAAACACTCATGCTAAAAAATGGCTTTATCAATGACATAAAGAAACTGTGTGAATASCACAAACTCAAGCAAATCTGCGAGTAAAAGAGGATAGGCTTCAGCTACACTGCATGGTTAGCTGGGCTACTCAAAAYCAGCCAGGATACAGCACAAATACTTCTCTGTGTTTAGGCAGAAGTAACAGAAAGAGTAGCTGGAGAGTGGGAAACAGCAACTCAGGAAAAAAAAATGCTATAGAGGTTTTGAAATCACATTGGACAATCAGTTCAACATGAGGTCCCAGCACCATGCTGTGACCAAAGCCAAATCAGACTCAAACACTTATCACAGGCCTCGAATATGCAGGAGGCTGAGAAGTAAACTGGACCTGGCCAAGGATTTTAATGAGACTAGAACTGGAAGAACACATATAGAGTTGCTATCCTTGATCTTAAGACCCTTSTGAGAAGTTAGAGAGAGTACAGTAAAAAGCCATGAAAGTCACTTGAATACTGATAAAAAYGCTTTAGAGACTGTTAAAGAGCTCAGTCTGTTTAGTTTACGAAAATTGTGAGGCAGCAGAGGTTTTTCTAGGCAAGTGCCAGAAAGGGAAAATGTCACATACTAGAGAGCTCTTTAATCTAAGGCAGAAACAAGAGACAAAAGAGGGTAACTGAAGACAGACAAATACAGATTTGGAAGAAAAAACACTTTTAAAAATTTGGGAGTAGACCTGGGGAAAAACTCCCAAGGTAAGTGGTAGACTCACTTATCCGCATGTTTTCAAATTAAGACTAGAGGACTTTCTGAAAAATAAATGCAAGTTAATATATGCTCAAAAACATGCAGTTGGCTTAATACAGAATAAATGCTTGATATTTTGTAGACTATAGTCACACACACAGAAGTTGATTAAAAAAATAACTTCCTCATACTTAAATTCTATGAATCTATTACCTCACGAGCAACACTCCTGAAAGGTGGTGCTATCAGTCACCAGTAAGTAATTTGCATGACTCGCACTATTTCTTTTTAAGTGATGTGTCCACTGTAGTTATGCTCCACTCATTTCATGGTTGTGCTCTACTTGGTCACACTTGGTGTCATTCACAATTTCAGCACTTATCACTGAATTTTTATCCATGTTTGTTTGTTAGCAAGAAGTAAGCACAAAGTAAAAAGAACAAGAGGAAAGGTTGATTATMAAGAAAGCAAGCAAAAAGAAATTCAAATCTGAACACCCATAAATTAAAATGTGAATTGTCCTATAACCTGCTGGAAACACCATTTTTTCCATGKGATGCTGGAAATCAAGAAGTTGTGAAGAATCTAGATGGAGGCTACTTAAAATATGYTCTTTACCTTATACATTCAAATGAYRACKGACTTGTTAGAAACCCTCATATTTACCAGAAATGCAATTATTAGCTCAGAAGACAACGGCATCAAACCCAAGTCAGGAAAGACCAGCAAATAATAAAAACTTCACTTTTACCCCTACATGGGCCACAGATACATACATGTAGGCATAATATTTGCACAGTGATATTGTGTCCTGCTTCTTACCTGAGGGGATTTTGTCATCTGAAATACAYTGATGTCTCCAAAAGCTAATGGCAGACCTTTCTCTGTTCTGGAGCCGACATAACCTCTCAGCTAGCCCGCCCCTGCAGAAAATAAAGCAATGCTCAGTTTTACCAGGAATTGCTAATTGGTTTTGGAAAGTGACGAGCCACAGGACAGATGTACATGTACATACATACATACATATATATATATATATATATATACATTTCGACCCTTAGAGACAGAAACTTATAGTAAAATTACATTTTGTCGATTAGTTCTCCTAATTTTGATTTTTCCAATGGAGGTACTCCCAACAAAACATACACTTAGGGTCAATGCACACAATRAAACATTTGCAGTATCTGGGTGTCCAAAACCTTCATGTTTTCAGCCCTGTCTCCAATATGAGTAGTGAAAAAAAAGGTTCCCAACTTTCCCTTGCACTTATGAACAGATTCTATCAGACACCAGAGACAGTTGCAAATTCAAAACAAACCAGTGTAACCACTAGTTATAACAGGTTGGGTTTTCTTTTCCCTCACAGATTTGTTTGTCTGTTGGCAAGGAGTGATCACAAAAATATTCTTTTACCCATACTTGACCCTATGATTCATTGCACAAGCTGGGTCAAGTGTGCAGTTTCAGTGGTCTGAACACTCTCCAAGATGAAATTAATTTAGCATTCCCAAGGTGAGGAGCAGAGGAGTGGCATCTAGCACAAATACACTTAAGGTAACACTAAAGCAATTCCTACCCTTGGATTCAAAGCCAGAAGACATAATTTCTCACTTTTAAGAACAAAAAGATGTATGCGTTGGAAGCTGTCTTTGGGCTATTACAAAGAGCTTTGGACTACTGTGGGAGTGTTTGAGCATTTTTCTTTGGCTTCAAAGAAGTTATTTGCATAAAGGCCTACTTCGTTCTTTTGTTGTAGTGTAAAGTTTTTCCACAAGTACTATTGAATAAATCAACARAGATTTCTACTAAGGTGAAATGCACTCTTGAGTTAAACTGGTTTAGGAATCAACAGAGATAGCATGCAACCAACTTATGACTATTTGTGCACATGAAGAAAATTTTTTGGCTAGGGAAAAAAGACAAATAGCTTGGTAAAGCTGACATTGTAAATGTGAAACTGGGAAGACACCTGTGGAAGCCAAGAAGGAGCTAAAAAGTATAAGCAGGACTTCAGGTGAGCTGGAAAAAATCTCTCTTTGGTTACCAGTTATTAAGCAATTTCATCTGCAGACAAGTCAACACATTATATAAAACATAGTTAGCAGTGTCAGCTCAATTTTTAATGAACAAATATATCCTTTGTAAAATTGTAACTATCTGATGAATTATCAGATGCAATGGCTAAACATTTAAGCAGCAGATCACAGAATGAACTCTGAAATACAAGAGCCCCATTTAAGCCAAAATGGCCTTTGGAAGTTTTGCAGCATCTCTATGGCTGGTGTCAGGCAGAGAGGAGAGAAACTCAGACTCAGAGGAAGAAAATCCCCAAAGCCTCAAAATAAAGAACCCACACTTARAAAGCTATGAATCCTGCTATATTAAGGAGGAAAATAAACAAAAATATTTATGAAAATATTGGGCTCCAGTGAAGTTCCAGGTAAGCTTAACAACCTTGCTTAATACTGGTTTCAATGAGGACTTTAAGACAGAGAGGCAAGTAATACAGAAGTGCAATGCAAGTTTTGGATCCAAGAGCAGCACAGTTAAGCACAAAACTTCATACCTAGTATGATAACCTACTTTGCTGATAACACTGTGTTCATCCTCATTTCCCCCAAAACCTGAGCACTGAAGCCACACCAAAACAGTTGAGGGCAAGACAGTTCTACAAACTCCAACAAACTGTCCACCCAGTTTCTCTTCTGRCCAGGGAAGCATTCTCAGATACAGCTGTAATTCAGCTTGGCTGTGTGGTCTACGTGAGCCATGCTGGAATTTGTAGATGCCAGCTCAGCTAAGCTTAAAAATGCAGCAGTAAAATGTATTTTCAGATTGCTTGTTTAAAAGCACGCTTGAGTCTGCAGCTGAACTCCGTGGTCGGACTGTAGCAATACACCACACAGTTAGAAGCTCAAAAACCTGCTTTGCTGAAAGCAAACTGTTCAACAGGAGTATTCCCCTACTCCATTCCCTCCACAGACACCTGTCAGAGAAATGAATTTTATTAGTTCAACCAATACTAGAAAGCCTCAAAGTAGAAGACARCAGCTATTATTGGTTTACAGCCTAATATTCCCCTTCTTCCTGAACAGGGCTATGCTTGTCTCCACTCAAACAGTTCCTGCTGTTCTGCAAGCCCACTGCTGTTCCACCTATGGCAGGAACACCCTATAGCATGAAGGGAAGAAAACAAGTTTCTAATTTTGTGGATACTGCACACAACAGCAAGACACCATTCTTGTTTCAGGCCTGATGCGACCGCCACAAGGGTCTCGCTGATGCTCACAACTTCATTACTAATTTGCTAACCACGTCTGTATTAGGACAGCAGTTATCACAAAGGTCCATGAAAAGTAAAACTTTGACTTTCTTTAGGAGCTTTCTGTGCTAAGAAAGCACACTGATATTTATTAATCATCATCCTTCCATTAACATTCCAAATGCAGTTAAAAATAGTTTAAATGGAAAACATCACAAAGCAATTTGAATCTACTTGGTTGCAGAACATAAAATATAACTAAGAATGCATTTATGAGAGGTTTCTCAGCTGGCCAGAAATGTTGTTTACATGCTGTTTGTTTCATACTTCATGAAATTAGAAAACAAAATTTAAGGACATGCCATGCACAAGAATAATTTGTGTATCCAGAACAACAGTTGGTACTTTATGGTTTGTTTCTTATAAAAAGGTAGAAACAAAGGAGTTTAAACACCACCACAACCCAGGCAAATCAAYCCCTTTTTTGGCTCAAACACAAAAAAAGAAAAATGGTGCTTTCTGTTGCACAAGCTAACAGATTTTCTGACTACAACATTTGAAAACTAATTTGTTCCCATACATTACAGGTGCCCACACTGTAAAGCWCTCTGTTTTACTCTCACTGCATGTGCTGTGAGCTACTGAGAACTATAGACAGAGTCATTGCTGTGCTGTAAGAGATAAGTCAACACTTGGGGGGGAATGTGCATGTATAAAATTGGCAAATATATTTTGATCACTTATGTATCATTTCTGTAATCAAGGGAACTGACTGCAAAAAACTGCAATGCAAACTGCATTGAAATAACATAGACTAGTTTAGGATGCATACTTTACTGACCTGCACTTCAAACTAGCCCCAAAAATGTTTTAATATGAGCAAATTTAACACATTTGCCAAATTGTTAATGCAAAGGCTGTTCAGTGAAGTCAAACTGCTCAGATACAATCTCCACTGCCCACAACCTTTTTATTTTTAATCACAAAACTTTCAGTACAACTATTTTGTTCCTTTAGTTCCCTCAAGGCAGACAGATTCAAAAGCAGCAAATCATGTCCTATATTCATACTAAATMTGAGCTTGTTGAAATACTGTATTTGAAACAACATATTGTCTTTACTGTCCATGTCCTACAATACCCACATGAAAGGCAGCTTTGATGACCATAAGAAAGCTCAGCATYCTGTACAAAAAATCAGTTTTTTGCCCTTCCCACAAACTTTAACAGCAAGATTGAAGAATTTTGTAATAACACCTATCACCAAAAAGTAATACTGAGCCTGATCTGTGACTTCCAGGCTGCTGGCCCCTATCTCCCAACTCCAATTAAGCTAATAGCAAGCAACAACAAAAGAGAATTATTGAGTTTGCTGTCTTTTGAAAAATAATTTTCATTCTTTCTGAAGTGTTGGAGATCTCTTTGTGTTTATTTATTAAGGYTTTCATTTAGCAGGGCACTTACCAAAAATAACCCCCTATTCATCCAAGTTTAYTCCTTTACAGACTTAATTTGAAGTTAACACTTAGATATCTCATTACTGAGTTTTCTCCTCATACACAATATAAAAAGGACTCCATGTGATTCAAAACAAATATATATCCCTATCTCACAACTGGTAATTTCCCCCTTCTCTCATTTCAAAGAAAGGAGAGATCTCCTCTCCTACTTTCACATTAACGGGTGAGGTGACTGACACCCTTTCTATTCCATAAGGCACTTGCTAAAGAAATAAAAAAGGCTCTGCTGACTCATGTTCAGTGTGCCATTGACCAGGACCCCCAGGCTCCTTTCCATGGTGCTGCTTTCCAGCATCTCATCCCCCAGTCTGCACACACAATGAGGGCTGTCCCATCTCAGGTGCAGAATCCAGCACTTTCACTTGTTAAACTTCATATGATTGGTGATTGCCCAGGCCTCTAATTTGTCAAGATCTCTCTGCAGGGTCTCTCTACCCTCCCCAGGGTTGACAGCTCTTCCTAATGCACTATCATTGGCAAACTCAGCATCACTTTGAGTGGTTAATGAAGATGTTGAAGATAATTGGGCCGGGGATGGAGCCCTTCAGAGCCCCACTGGTGACTGGGTGCCAGTCTGATGTCACCCCATGCACTGTCACCCTTTGCTGCCTGACCTGTGAGCCAGTTGCTCACCCATCGCCTAACAGTTATCCAGCTGTGTGCTGAACATTTTGTCTGGAAGGTACTGCGAGGGACAGCATCAAAAGCTTTGYTTTTAAAGTCCAAARAGATCACATCTRTGGGCTTTCTTARATCARCTAGGTGGGTCATGCYGTTGTAGAAGGGAATTGGTCTGACAAGCAGGACTTTTCCCTCATCAAGCTGTGCCAGCTGTGACCAATGACCAAAAATGGTGCATTTTTTCCTGCTATTTGCAGAAAACATTTGGCCCAGTGAAACCATCAGCACTTTCTAAAGGGTAAAATACATTTTAACTTACCCTAAATGCAAATTAATTTTACTCTGTACACTGCCAGTGATGACAAGTGGTACATCTGTACTGCAGCCATGATATTCTTAATTTCTATTTTCCTAATCCAACAAGAAATTCACTAGCAAAGAAAACTTARTGCAATAGTTAAAATTAGAGTAAGAACATGACCATCTAAAGGGCTAGTCTGTTGCTGTTACAGCCTCATGCCACTTATGGATGCATGTAAGAAAGAACAGTCTCAATTTTAGAGTAAAAGTCTGCTTCATTTGTGCCAGTTCCCTCTTCCCTTGGTGATTTCCTTTCTTTTCAGGACCTCAGTTGGACTCATGTGACAACTGGGTTTCATTTTACTGAACACAGTACCAGGACATTCTGTAATTTTCTCGTCTTTTGATAACACAAGTTAATTTTAGTTGATCAGATTTGTAARTGGTCTGCATACAAGTAGATGTAAGATAATTTAAAATAAAATCCTGGGAAATCCTGTTTCTCTTGAACTAAAAACAGACATTCGAGCACTAAAAAAAAACCAGTCAAAAAGCTAAAGCTTATTCTTCACAAATAAAAGCTCTTGCAACATGACAGATTTAGACGCAGAGTTAACATTTTATAACTTAAGATATTTATTTCCTACAATAAACCTCAGACTTCTTTTTCTGATGGAAATAAAACCGTAATGGAAAAGGCAAACAATTCAGAAAACCTTTAAGAAAGGTTTACTTGTAGACAAGAGAAGCTGAGTGCATGCATTTTGAGTTTTCTTCTCTATAAATACTGAATTAATGCAGTGATTTGCTTAACCTATGTAACAAACATTGGGATTTGCAATACTCTACCWTCCTCCATTCTTCCACAAAGAAACTTTGAAAGACTTGGAATTAATGCAGTTTAGACACTTCATCCCATAGCATTAACATGAATTCCAAAAGTAACAAGAGCTTCTTAAAAACTGTTATTTGCAACGTGTACTCTCTTCCCTCCGGTTTGTAAATAATTTTCCCATTAAGTGCTGACTCAAGCCAAGAAACTGAAGCTTTGGGATGAAATAAAAGGACAGGAACACGTAAATCCAACACTTCTTGATCTGATCACCAAGACAATTCATCTCAGTACCAAGCATCACTAAATTAGCAGCTCACAGGTGCTGTGCAAGGACATGGATCTGTCAGTGCCACCTGGGAAAATGATATACCCCTACTGCCTCCATCAACAGTCTTGYTTAAATGAGGAAGGCAACTCACAAGCACACAATACCAGTGTTTAATGGGAGGGAGTCCTGCAACAGTGGCATTGATGGTGAATGAGAGATGGTCTCCTTTTCTTCCAGCACGGCAAACTGCTCCTTCAGCACAGCTCTTCAGAACCTGCCCAGCACCACCAGCACCCCTGAAGGGCAAACCATGACCCACAGACTACCTCCTCTCCCCTAGGACCACGGCAGAAAGAAGAATAATCTTTACTTAAAACACTCTTGAAAACAAAAACCAGGGGACACATGAAGACATASGAGAATTTGGCAGTAAATATGGTGGGGGAAGACTTGTTTCTGTTGCATCTCTCTTTTCTTGAGATGACAAATGTTTTCCAAAACCTCACTTAGCCCCTACTAGAGGAGAATTGCAACATGCCCCTTTAAATTTGCCTTATCATCTGCAACACATTGTGAGTGTTGATTTGGGGACACAGATGGACTTCTCATTTTATTTACACTCAAGGGTGTTGAATTCACAGTCAAATATTTAACAAAAAGATCACAACAATTTTTAATTTTATTTCAATCATCCATAATTAGCTTACTTCTGAAGGTTTTTGTTGCTTTGGTTGCATTTCAATTTTTATAGTGTATGACAACTGCATTGGTAATAGGCTCAGACAGACAATACTCTTTCCTCCCATCCAGGCAACCACACATTTCCATTTTAGCACCAGGASGTTTCCAGAAAGAGAGGACAGTAGAAAGGAAGAACTTATCTGAATTTTTCCAGAGACTGTTATGTCTTTGTTTTATTTGATTTTGCTTGGGATTTGGCAGGGAAGGGGATATGTTAGGGGTTTTTTTTTGAAGTTGTGCAGAAGAATATACCCAGTGATGTGACAGAGGTATAGATGCAATCAGGTAGTGCAAATACAAATGCAGATTGCAGCATGCCTCTGAGATTTCTACAGAAAATATAAGCTAAAACTTCTTGAAAATATTATCTCTACTTTTGAAGGCAGCTTTACACATGTCAAACAGCAAAAAGATATAAAAATATAAATATTTTCTATTTTCTTAAAAGGGGAAAAAATGGGAGGAGACCTACTCCTCCTACATCAGGACTCTTCCATGAAAGAAGCACACTCAATACAGTCTGGATTTGGAGTTGAACCTGTTGCACAGGAATTCATATAGGAAGAGGCAGCTCTGCCACCTGCACCATCTCTGCTCAGCCCATGCTTCCCTAGGCACCAGCCTGGAAAACAAGAGCCCAGAGGCTCATGGCTCTCTTGCACCTACTGAGTTCCAACTGGTCCACCTGAGTGGGAGCTCACAGGCCAGRTCCAGCTCCAAGAGTGATTCCCCTGCTCACTGCTTTTTCTGCTGTGGCCTTGACCTGCAGCAGRGGTAGGAAGGAAGGAGAAATGACAAGCCAGCAACTGCTCTGTAACTTTTAGCTATTTAACCACAAAGATGGGATTGTCACTTCATCAATCAAGAAGCTGACAAACCTTTCCCTGAACTGGCCTTCAATCYACAGCACTGAAAACCTGCGCTTTCCTATTGAGGATGCAAGCTCTTACACCCACTTTTATCACACCAATGATGTGYTCAAATGTTCTCTGTCAGCAGTAAAAGGAAGGATGGGAGAGACACATGGAATTAATGCCCTGAACAGGAAGAGTGAAAAGATGACAATTACCTGGATGAGCAAAATAACAAGATAAACAACACTCATAAGTGAGGAATTTCCTGCCTGCTTCCCTGTTCCCAAAGGAACCCAAAGTGGAACCACAGGATGGAAGGTAAAAAACCCTGTAAGCTCTCTTCCTCTGGCCACTCCAGACAGATTGCATTCTGTATAATTGTGGATAGTTTGGTTTTGTTGTTTTGATTGTTTTTAAAGCAATCTATTCTCCCACATACTTGTCAGGATACCTTCGATGTAAAGCATTTTTTGCATTAAGACTGTTGATATTAAAGGTCATCAAAGAAGCTGGAACTCAAAAAAAGACAAACCTACTAAGGGTAATAAACAGCTCCTGAACTGCTTAAAGCTGGAAGAGCACCTGGGCAAAATACCACTGAACACTTATCCTGCTTTTATTACATTCACACATAATTGCTTTTGGCCACTAAAAGGCATTTTTGGGGGTTACAGCTTTGGCCTGACCTAGTACAGCTGTGTATGTATGTCTCTAAAGTAACAAGAAATAAAGCTTGATTGTACAAGCAAAGCACTTTTAAATATAGAGATCCTCAGTAATTAGGACTTGCAAACCTGTTTTCCCAGACAGCATTTTGCAATAGCCAAGAATATTTCAGGGAAAAATAAGGTAAGCCTATTAACTGAAGATTTACTTTTTAAGTAATTGATTACTGTACTATAGATTCGGCAGTAAAAGAAGTAAGACAACCACATTGTTAAAACAACAACAGGAATGTATAGCAGCACCATTTGTAATTTTAGTCTCCACAGCTCCAGGCATATTTTCACATATAGCATTTAAGTTAACACAACTTTCATTAATTCAGTATAGGAAGTGACCATTTCTGCACTGTCATTAGCTAAAACATCAGGGTGCCACTGCTCAGTCTCAGGCTACTTTCCTTCTGCAGTTACATATCTTTCTAACGTATTTAATTTAGTCACAGACATTGAAAATAAGAATATGTCCTTCCATTGCCTAAATACCACTCTGTCCAACACCCTTCAGAAATACTGCTCATCCACTTCTTGACTACAGTATTTTGGATAATTTTGGCCTTGACAAATCCAGAGAGGACCAAAAAAAAACCCCAAGACCCCTGAAGTACAGTATTTTTTCTGATTTTCTGGAGAGGCACAAAGCAATGACATGACTAGAAGCTAAAACAGAAGTATGTTCACTCACACATCTGTAAGGCTTTGTTAGTAGTGCAAAAATCAATCAACTTGTACACAGAAGTTCAAGATTGAGAACTTTCACCACAGATTTTAAATCCGAACTTGGCTCTTTCTTGCGTTTTTTGCTTGTTTACAGATAAATGGCATTCTTTACGATTTTTGTACTTGCATCTCTAAAATGTTTACCCTTGAAACACATTCCAACACTTTGGCAAGTAT